TCATCTTTTTTTTGGTACCGGGGATCGAACTCGCATTCTTGCACTTGCAAGGCAGGTGGCAGAACCACTGAGCTAAATCCCTGGCCCTAGTTAGGGTACTCTTGATACAGGGGGAATAGATGTAACTCCCAAACCCACTAGATATCCAAAACGCAAGTTGGTGTTCTCTAAAATTGAAGAATGAATTCTAGGGAAAGGGAGGTTAGGAGTAGGAAAATTTTATTGAGAGAAAGATAGCTTCTGTCTAAGAGAGACAGAAGGGGGACTGGAAAATGTGTTGCCTGCCCACCTTGTTTCTCAAAGGTGTTTTATTGGACAAAGTCATGAGGTGATGTGGGTTCAAGGTGGAACTAAACTATAGTCAACTAGTAAGATTACAAGTACACTCACTTAGGTAATAATGATCCAATGGGAAATCACAAGGCAGGTTTGAGGTGGAACAAAATTATGATCAACCAATAAGATAACAAGTATACTCATTTAGGTAATATTAATTAAATGGGGACCAAATGGGGAAGTGAATCATGTAGCAAGTGTACAAAGGATTTTCAGAAAAGGGTGGGTCAAAGACCTTTCCTGGAAGGGAAGGGTTAAGGTCTTGGTCCCCTACCCAGGCGATTAATGTGTATTTAGAATATCAATCACTGCTATTCATCCCTAAGGGAAGTACATGATGGGTGTAATAGTTTCTCTGCTTTCATAATGCTGAACTTTAGTGAATGTGTCTTGATTGTCCTTCATATTGACTCCTGGGTGGCTCCCCCCCCCCAACTCTCCAGGAGATATCTAATTAACTTACCTATCTACAATACTGAAAAGATTGACTGAGTATGTACATGCTGGCACCAGGAGGTGGATGCCCAGTTTTATTTCCTTAGACAAAAAAGGGAGAAGTTTTGTTCTATGAAGGGATGAAACAAGTTGGACATGTCTTATTAAAATAGTTAATTTCGTACAAATCTGAGTTCTTTGTGTCCTAAAATTTAAGAATAGATTTAAGGACAAATGGAGGAATTGAAGAGAGTGTTTATTAGGAATAATAAGGGAAAGCCACCAGGAAGATAAAGAAACTCAACATGCTTTCTTTGTCTTGGCCTTAATCAGATAGGCAGAGCACAGGGACTTGTTTCAAAGGAGATGAATTCAAAATAGTTAAAAAAGAAATGGTCTGTCTTAGATTTCTAATGTTTTCTGTTTAAACAGAGGTAGGGGAGGAGGTAGGCAGGAGGTGTCAACTAACTTAGCATACCTTATTCCTTGGTGGAAAGGTTCTTATCTCCCTTTTTATTGTATCCTTCCTGTGTTTGTCTTTGCAACTCTAAGCTTAACAAACTGCTTAAGTTAGTTTTTAAAGGTGCGCTATTTTCCTTTATGGGACCCTATAATCAAGCTGCTCTGACTGCATTCTCATAATAATAACTACTAAACTATGATATTTTTGTCTAATTTTATTCCTTCCCTCCTCTCTTCCTTGGTATAAAAGATCCTAATACACCAGCACACTGTGAGATGATGATCTGGGTGATGAAGCCTCTCCATCTCTTCAGAGCTAATTTTAAATAAACCGTTTTTCCTTTTTACCAAAACAAATGCCCTCTTTTTTTTTAACCAGGTTCCAGGATTCTATGGATTCTTTCTAGAGATTCTTTCTAGGGTCTTCCTGTCCTGAACAAAGAATTGGACAAAACAAGGGCAAATGGTAATGAGGTTTTGCATTTATTAAAGATAGGAAAAGAAACATGGCCTATAGAGTGAGTGTGGGCTAATTAAAGGTAGGAAAAGAAGTACACTCTCAAGGTGAGAGTGGACAATTGTGAAAAAGAGAACATAATGGCCAAGAGCTCAGCTCAATGGTGGCCATCTTTTATATCTCCTACTCCTCAGACTGATGTCAGGTCTAGGCTGTCTTATCAAAAACCTGCTTCAGTTTTCATGAGAAGAATTAAAGATAGCATTGTCTAATTGTTCTAATATGCAGGGCTTTGGAAACTTTTTCTGTGTATATCCTAGATCTCCATGATTGACAGAGCATGACCATTTGCTCAGCCAGTTTGCCACACCATAATTCCCTGCCTCATTTCCCCCTGAGAGACATAAATCCTCACAATTCTTTATGGGCTACTGAGGGTGTGGTGATCTCTGTAATCATATAGCTACTTCTAGCTGAAAGGGGCTGTAGGTCCTACCTACTGTGGATTATGTGCTCTCCAACTGCCTTAAGATATTCTGGCTCCCTGGCTGGGTTGAAAAAACAAAACCTATCAGAAGACAATAAGAAAGGAGTTAGTGTCCATGTGTGAGGGTTATTGAGCTGCCAGTTCAATGGGAGAAAGCTCGGTGAATTTGTCAGGAAAGTAATTTTATTGTTATGTCAGGGATGTAGAGCCCAAACATGAGAAGGAGCAGGTCAGATCTCTGTGCTTCCTGTGGAGGAGAAAGTGTGGCAAAAGAGGAATATTAGATAAATTACCAAGAGCCTGAGAGTAATACCCCTTGAAAGATTGCCCACATTATGGATCTAATTAAAAACAGGTGTCTCAGAGCTGGGGATTTAGCCCAATGGTTCCACCACCTCACAAGCACAAGGTCCTGAGTTTGATCCCTGGTACCAAAATAAAAAAAAACAAAAATTTCCCTTTGGGCTGGGGATTTAGCTCAGTGGTTCTGCCACCTGCCTTCCAAGCACAAGGACCAGAGTTTGGTTCCCGGTACCAAGAAATAAAATAAAAACAGGTGCCTCATTACCTCTCCCCATTTAAACTGTAGTATATTGGGGGGCATTAATGACTCTACTTATCTATGCTCAGCGCAAAAGTGGAGTTTTTTTTTAAAGAAGAGCCTCAGGTCTTCTAGAGGTTCACAGGAGTAGCTTTCGTCTTTTGGATGGTCTTTTTCCTCAGACAGTTCAAGTAGAAATGGTTTTATAATTGTCAGTCCTCCCCAGGATATATTCATCTCCTCTGCACAGGTTCTAACAAAGAAGCTGGTTTGAACTTGCCAGGGTTAGTGGCCAAGCTTTGTAGACCTGTCAGGAGGTCACCACTAGTCCTAGTCCTATGAAAATTTGAGTCACCATTTCCCATGTAGAGTTTTGTTTTTTTTTAAAGCTTTCTACTGTGTCCCTTGAGGAATGATCAGTGTACTGGTTTTAATGGTTTCTCAGAAACTGGGAATAAGGTTAGGGTTTTGAGGGGCCATATGGCTGCCCTTTTTGCCTCTTTCATTTTTTGATTTCCTAAGGAGATTTTAGACATGTTTTGTTGTTGTCCTTTGAAGTGAATGACAGTGACCTGCCTGGGAAGATAGAACTACTTCTAATATTACTAGTAAATCTCTTCCTAGTAAGGCAATAGGGCACTGCGGGACAATTAAAAACTCATGGCTGAGGGGTGGGGATTTAGCTCAGTGGCACTGTGTCTGCCTTGCAAGCACAAGGTCCTGAGTTTGATCCCTGGTACCAAAAAAAAAATCCTCATGGTTGATTGTTTGGTCTTTGAATTGACATGTAAGAGCAGGTGCAAAGAAGCTCCGACTAGGGCTCCCATAAACTCAAATTATGACGATAGATATACAGGAGGGTTTTCTACAGAAAAAAGCTAAAGCAGAGTAATTGAATTTGCTTATTCATGACATCCTGGGTCACCTGTGGTTCCTCACAGGAGATGGTGATAGCTGAGAACCCAGGTGGGGCATTGCAGATTGCCCCAGGCCCCTTCAATCTTCTTCTTCAGAGTGGAAGGTAAAGGTTTGGCTTGCCTAGCTCCTCTCTGGGAGCAGGGTCAATCAATCCTCCAGTGCCATGACTCAGGCACATCAGCCACCTGACACATAGAGGAAGGCCCAGGTGGTGGTTATGTGTCCAATGTCCAGTTTTTGTTTCTTTTTTTAAATAATTTTTATTGTTTTTTTCTTTTGTTTGCATTAATTTTATTTATTTATTTTGGTACCGGGGATCGAACTTGGGACCTTGCACTTGTGAGGCAGGTGGCGGAACCACTGAGCTAAATCCCTGGCCCAATGTCCAGTTTTCTTGCAGGCCTTTATTGGCCATGGGTTTTCCCTTGCATGACTTGTGTATGCTTAAAGCATTGCCAATTTGGACAGTCATAATTTTGCTGTCTTTTTTTTCAGCCCTTCTGCATTTTTCCTCATCTAGATCTCAGTTGTTGAATACAGAAATGGCTGTGTCTAGTAACTGGCTCATAGGGATCTGGGGTACATCAAGTGGTGAAAACAAATTGGATATCTTGCCATGAGATGTCCAAATCAAGGGTGAAAGTTTTTTTTTTCAAAGGGTCAAAGTTTGAAACTCCCTGAAAACTTACTAGCATCTGAAAATACTGGGTCTCTCTGTGCTGATAGGCTCTGGTAGGATTCCTGGGTCACATGAATGAAAGGGGACTGATTTACTGGCCTGAAAATTTTGAGGAGGAGGTCAAGCAGACCTCCCTGTAAGGTCATTTTCATTAAATAGGTGGGAGAGAACCATACACCCCTATGAGATAGGTGGGGATCTGAGGATGGGTTTATCATTATTGTCCTCTTTTTCTTTTGTACCAAGGATCAAACTTGGGACCTTGCACCTGCAAGGCAGGTGGTGGAACCACTGAGCTAAATCCCCAGTCCTATTATCCTCTTCTTGCTAAGGGGCCAGGGTAAGTACCATAGATTCTGGGTTTTTCCAGAGATAGAGACACAAAATCTTTAACATAAGGAATTTCACTCTACCACCTAAGCTTTTTGCAGAAATGATTTAAATAAAAAAGAATATTGCAATTTAATCTGCCATCTTGTACCCATCTCTCACCATTCTTTACTTCATACTTAACCCAAACCATATTGCAATGGTAGATAAGTTGTTCCTTTTTCAGATTGGCAGGCTCAAATCATACCCAATGTTGAAGGATACAGCTTAATGGTGACTTTGGTGGGATCTGTGGGGTGCAGTTCATGGTGATTCCCATAGCTCATCTTGGGACCTATGGAGAGAAGGAACTAGGTCTGTGGTCCTTTAGATGGTACCCTATGAAGAAGGAAGCAGACCAGTTGAGTTCACAAGTAGTCCCTTGTGAGACATAAGCACTAAACAGACATCTCTGTCTGAAGCTAGGTTGGTACCAGTGCCTTCCTAGAAGAGTGGAGTCCCATGGGGACACCCTTAGCCACTTGAGAAACAATACATTCTTAAGCAATCAGGATGGAGACCCCAGGGGGCTCCCTCAGGTAGTGCTCTTAAGAGAGCAAAGTATAGCCCCCACCATTCCTTAGCTGCTTAGGAAACAATATCTTATGTCTTACATTTATCCTAATGATACTTTTTTAAGACAGTAGGGGTAGAAATCTCTTTTGCAGTTGACAGAAGAAAAAAAAACTTTAAAAAGTTCTAAGTACAAGGATAACTCTACTTTTGCATGTTCACGGCCACTTGAGTTGTTTACTGTCTGTTCCTTTGTTCTGCACAGGCTCCAAGGCATGTTTCTAAATTACCTGAATTTCTGTTAGAAGAAATAAGGAGAGGATCCAACCTGATTCAGAAGAGTAGTGGGGAAGAGGCTCATATGTTTCCTAAAATCAGAGGCTTACCTCTGATCTACAAGGGTGAGATTTCCTGGTGTTCTTGAAGTCAGTTGAAAAAAAGAAAATTGCAAACAAATATGGCAGAACCACCTAACTGACCCACATGACCAACCCAAGTGGTCAACGTACATGATGCATCCATATACCTCACTTACATAATGAACCAAAATGGCCATCAAACATGGCAGAAAGGTGGGCTGGAATGAAACAAGGCCAAGAGAAAGCCACTCAATAAGGATGCCAGAGACAAAAGGCCATTGAGGGGGATAAGTGTGGATACGACTTTGAGCACAAGTAGGCTCCCAAAACAGTGAGAAAGCTGAACAAAGTATTGGAAAAAACAAAAATGTGAGGCTGAAAAAGGATATTAAACTCTAATTCACACATGTAAAATCTGAATGATCCATTCTGTGGTTGGTTTAATAAAAGGCTCTATGACAGCTCTTAAATGATTCATACCCACAATGAGTGATTGAAAACAGGAAAATGAAGCAGGTAAAAGGGTGATAAACTTGAGAGAGTCCTATGGTCCTCTCTTACTAGCTATGAGAAATACCAAGGCTGTGTGCTTCCTCTCCCCCATCCTACATGGTGGAAGATAATAGGAAACTGTTTCCAGAGCCAGAAGAAAGCCTCCTGAGTTCCTCAGCTTCCATTAATTTTTAACACCCTCTAGGTCCTGCCTCATCCCAAAAACCAACATCAGAAAAAAAGTTAAAAGATTGGAGCCCTCTGACAGATGAAAGGCCAAGTGGGGAAAAAAGGGGAGAAGGAGATCAGAGCTTTTGTAAGTGACAGAGAGAGGAAAAGGAAAAAAAAACCCAAAAGCTAAACCCATCCTTCTTGGCTTAAGTCCATAGATTTCAGAAAGGAAAGAAAGAAAACTGTGCCTAAAAGGGCCTTACCTGTTCCTGTTGGCTTGGCCAAACTATGTTATCAAGGTTCTGGGGTCACAGACTCCTTCTAGAGATTCTTTCTAGGTTCTTCTTGTCCTGAACAAAGAATTGGACAAAACAGGCAAAAAAGGTAGTAAGGTTTTACATCTATTAAAGATAGGAAAAGAAAAATGCTCTGCAGAATGAATATGAGCCAATTAGAAGAAAAAAGTATACACTGCAGGGTGAGGGTTGTACCACTGTGAAAGAGAGAACACAGTGACCAAGACCTTAATGGTGGCTATCTTTTGGTCTCCCAGTCCTTGGGCTGACTTTAGGTCTAAGCCATCCTGTCAAAAACTTGCTTGATTTCTTGTGAGAACTGCAGATAGCATTTGTTGATTGGTCCCAGATGTAGGCCTTTTGGAACTGTTTTGATGCACATTTCTTACATTTCCATGATTGACAGGTCATACCCAGTTGCTCAGCCAGCTTGCCACACACTAATCTCCTACCTCATTTTGATTTGGTCATTAGTGAGCAAACAAACCTGAGCATAGGAACCTAAGTGGCTGGTAACAATAAGTTCAATTTGTGCATTAGAAGATGTAGTTCATGGACCTGATCTGCTTTAGTGCGTACATTGAAGCTGACTGTGGCACAGTGTGCAAAGTCTTCAATATTGGGCTCATTGGTTTGTGTATGTCATATGAGACATTTTATTTTCTGCATGGATACCTACTCAGGCTGAGGCAGGTCTTGATTTTGTGATTGATTGATTGATTGATTTGATTGAGGCAAGGTCTTGATGTGTAGTTCAGGCTGGCCTTGAACTTACTATGTACCCCAAGCTGGCCTTGAAGTTGTGGCAATTCTCCTGTCTCAGCCTCCTGAGTGCAGGGATTACATATATGCCACCATACCTAACTGGTTAGGTGAATTATGATGGCACAATGGGTTTGAACTCCTTGTGTAATTAAAGGCAATGTTAGTCCTCTAGGCTTGCAAATTTCTTTTAATTCCAGTATCTTGGATACAGAGGGAGCAAAAGTGATGTTGGTGTAGCTAGAGCTACACTGTGTCAAAAACAGGCCAAAATACAGGTGGCCAATTTGCAATGTTTCTAGCAGTCTGAATTTTTACCTAGATGATGATGTAAAGAAATTGTTTGGAAACAGGTTTTAAATCAGTTATGTGTCAATTAAAACATCAAGGCTGGGACTGGAGATTCTGCATAGCCCTCTATTAGTCTATCTGCTATGGACCCTTTGCTTCTTCTTCTTTTTTTTTTTTTTTTTTTTTTTTTTGTGACAGGCTAGCTGGTGAGGTTTTAGGTTGTAGGGCTTGTATTAGCCCAACTGGAAGGCAGATGAATCTCATAATTTGCCTTATCTGATTTATGAATTAAATGTGTTTCATGTATGCAGTATATTGTTAGATCTTGCTTCTTGATCAATTCTGCCAGTCTGTTTCTTTTCATTGGTGAATTGAGACAATTAACATTGATGGTAATAACTGGTATGTATTGACTTCTCCTTGTCATGTTATTTTCCTATTGTTGGTTTGCTTTTCCCCCCTCTGTTTAATTGCTTTCCTTGCCTGGTGGATTCATTCTGTTGGGGTTCATGCAGTTGTAGTCCTTGTTATCTCTTTCTAGAATGTCCTTCAGAACATTTTGTAGTGCTGGTTTGGTGGTCATGAATTTCCTCAGGTGTTCTTTGTCATGGATATATCTTATTTCTCCATCAATTTTGAAAGATAGTTTTGTAGTTTTGAAGGGAGCACAGAAAGAGTTACTCAGATTCATGTGACCAAAGTGTGACCTCTGTATGTGCCAGGCTTGAGGACTGGGTACCCTCCAAGAGTTTGTCCTTGAGGGAATAAACACCTTAATCTGGACTATTTGGTACAAGGACTCTGCCCTAGCTCCTAGCCAGATCCGAGAGCAGACTCCTTCTAAGACACATAGGCCTCATTAACAAGAGGCCACCTTTGTATGACATGCTATATAAGCTAGCAGGGAAAAAAAGCCAGCTTTGGTAGACTAGCAGAACTGCATCCAGGAATTCTGCCCAGCAGGACCCTGACCAACCACTGTCTCAGGATTTCCCCAGTTTTCCTCAGGTGTTGAGGCACTACCCTGACTGGTGGTGTATTACTTCTATCTGTCATACTTTCTTTTCAATATTCTTATTGATTATTGATTGAAACCTTGTACTAAAGCTATCTTTACTTTCACTTTCATGTGGCATGGTGTGACTTTTTTTTTTTTTTTTTTGGTACCAAGGATCGAACTTGGGACCTTGCGCTTGCAAGGCAGGCAGCAGAACCACTGAGCTAAAGCCCCAGCCCTATGCTGTGACTTTCATCAAAGATTGAGCCTCAATTTAACTAAGTGGTGCACCCGAGTAGCTTGGTATTAACCCTTGCTACAATAGGGTTACATCAATCTGTGTTGGAGGTTGTTTTCTTTTAGGCCTTGAAATACTTCACTCCAAGCTCTCCTTGACTTGAGGGTTTGTGTTGAGAAGTCTGCTGTAATTCTGATGGGCTTTCCTTTATAGGTGATTTGTTTCTTTTCTCTGACAACTTTCAATATTCTGTTCTTGAGTTTCTGGAATCTTGGCTATTATATGGTTTGGTGTAGGGTTTTTTATCATGGCTAATTGGAATTCTATATGCCTCGCTTATCTATATGTCAAATTCTTTTTCCATGCTTGGAAAGTTTTCTGCCATTACTTCTGTGAACAGGTTTTTTATATCATTTGTACTAGCTCCCATTTTTTCACTGACTCCAATCACTCTTAGGTTATTCTTCTTTGCATCATCTAGCAGCTGTTGGATTGAGTTTTGGTGGTCCCTTGCTATTTTTAAGAAATATTTCTTTTCATGATTGCTAATCACAATCCTGTCTTCTATATCTGATATTCTGTCCTCACATTGGTTCATTCTACTGTGTATACTTTCAACGGAATGTTTAATCTCTTGGATATCTGTATGAATCAGTTTCACAGATTCCATTTCTTTACCATGTTAGGCATTTACGGTTTCCACATTTTTTTAAGCTCTTCTATTTTTTTATCTGTATCTGCTCTAGAGTCACTAAGCATGTCTTTCATTATTGTCACCATCTCTGTAGTTATCTGAGAAATTATTTCTGATTTGATTTTTTCTAGAGCTTCATATCTGCTTTGTTACCTCTGCTGTTATCACTTTGGAGAGTCCAGATGGGTAGCTTTCAAATTGTTCCACCTCATTCCTCCCTGGGTTTGCCTTTGGTGAGCTGGAAGTCTAGGGTTGCATCTTGCTTCTGTGTCTTCTCATTTTCTATTTCTTTTTAGTTTAATTCCTGGGTTGATGCTTATAAATTGCTTATGTCAGTAGCTTTATTGCTAGTATTGAGAACCAATAGGAAATGACTACTTCTCAGAGACTTCTTCCAGGTGTAGCTGGCTTTTGAGTTTTGAGTCTGTTGCAAGATTCTACCTCCTCAATTTATTAGGGATGAGAAGTTGCTGCTACTTGGCCCAGCCCCTGGTTCTTTGGCCCTGGTATTATTTATGACCTTTAGACAGTCTCAGACTTGGCTAACCAGGAAGAGCAACTGATTAGAACAATTATCTCACTTCAGCTAAGGTAGCACAATCAGCAATAACAATAGCATCAAATGTACCCTAGAAAATAACAAACTATGCTATTAATTTGTCACATTAACTGTGTCAACTAGATTTTTGGTTATATATCAAAATCTACAACAAACCAGAAAATTGTATACAGTAAGTAAGTCCTCAGTATGGTAATTTTACCCTTAGGGGAAAAAAAATGGGGTTGGGGGAAAAATAGAGAAAAAGAAGAAGAGGAGGAGGAGGAAGGAGGAGGAGGAGGAGGAGGGGAAATTAGAAGCAAGGCTGAAGGCCACAGGCAGATTATAAGAACTTTGGGAAACTGATGAAGAAGACTGGAAGGAAAGAGAGTAGGAAGAAATAAAAAGAACAACAAAACAGAACAACAACAAAATTAAAAACAATGTTCACACTCATATAAAAACAAGAACAACCAAGAAAAAACAAAGCCAAACAAAAACAAGAAAAAAGAAGATAAGAAAAAAATGTCCACTTTAAAGTGTGTCTCTGCTGTCACTGGTATACAAAGTGGACAGACAGAGTCAAGATCCATGTTGATTAATCCTAGCAAGCCAGCCATAGGTTTACAGAAGGGTATTGAATAATCCCAGAAAGCCTGCACCTTTAGTCCCACTGAAGTTCAGGCTCATTTCTGGCTGTGAGAGTGGGACCCAATTTGTTTTAGACACTCCATGTGCCTCTTGCCAGATGGAACTCAGCTCCTTGGCCTCCTGCTGACTTAACTCAGCAGCCTCTCCCTGACACTGGGAGCTTCTAGATGGAGCTAGCCTGCAGTTGCTCTGAGTTCTGAGCTCAGTTGGCCCCTCTCCAAGACGGCTACTGGCCAATCGCCCTGTCCTGGGGGCATCTGAACCCAAATAACTCACCAGCCACTGCAGTCCACTGTATCCACCACTCTATTCAACTGGTGCATTTCTTTGTTGAGGCATCTGGGATCACCATTAATCACCATGTATCTGCAGGTTCAAGATGCCTCTCCCACACAGTGAGTCAGGGCTCAAGGGGAAAGCACTGCTTGCCATCTCTTTTCTTTGGGGGGGGGGTACCAGGGATTGAACTCAGGCCCTTGTGTTTGTGAGGCAGGCAGTGGAACCACTGAGCTAAATCCCTGGCCCTTGCCATCTCTTTTTTCATTGAAGTCTCTCTTTGCTCTCCCCATGGACTTCAATTCTCACTTCAGATCCTTCCTGGGTTCTGGGGACCCACTTCCTTTCTTGTCTTCCTCACATTGCTATATTCCAGCATCTGGACACCAAATCTTGGAGAAGCTCTTTCTCTGCTGTTCACCACTCTGTCATTTTCCCAGAAGTCCTTATCTGATTTAAATAATGAATTATTTGACATATTTTGTCCTTCAAATTGAAACCAATGCAAACATTCAAAGTAACCAATAGTAGCTGAACAATAGTAAACAGACGGGTTTACAGTGGCACTTGACAGCCTTTTTTGCTGCTGAGGTAGAAGTTGAGGCTC